GGCGCAGAAGCTTTGAATGAGCCAGTGGCGGCGGGACCGGGGATCCCCCGGGGGTCCCTCCCGGCAGGTGCCGCCGGACACCGGGAGGAAGAGGGGGGAGACACCCAGCTCGGTGCCCCCCGCCTCGGCTGTGCGGTGCGGGATGCTTGGTGGAGATGCGTGTGTGCGCGCACCCGGGGTGGCGGGAGATGCGTGTGTGTCCCGTCCCGTCCGTGTGTCTGTGTGTGTGTGTGCGCGCGCGCGCGTGTGTCCCGTGTGTCTGTGTGTGTGTGTGTGTGTGTCTGTGTGTGTGTGTGTGTCCCATCCCGTGTGTGTGTGTCCCGTCCCCGTGTGTGTCCCCCGTCCCCGTGTCCGTGTCCCCCCGCCGGCGGCTCCCGGGGGGCTTGGCGCGGAGCTCCCCCCGCTTTCATAATCGCTCCCCGGGCGAAAATCCCTGTGACATGTCGCAGCTCGTCACCGCCGCGGCTCCTGCCACCCCCCGGCACCTCGGGCTGTCGGGCCGCCCCCGGGTTACCGTAAGTTGTAATCGCTGCTGCACGGTCGGGGTGTTCTCGGGAAACGGGGGTGTGTGTGTGTGTGTGTGTCCCGTCCCCGTGTGTGTGTTATTAATAGCCCCGGTGGGGGCAAGAGGGAGTTTGTGTCACTTCTTGAGGTTTGGTGTCGTGATCGCGGCGTGAGGTCACGCGTGTCGCCGTCACGGGGGGGCAAAGGAGGGGGAAAAGTAACTTTTAAAGTTGTTTTGCCGCTGCCTGCGAGGGCTGCGGGGCCGCTGAGGGATGCAGGGGTGCTGAGGGGTGCAGGGCTGCAAGGGATGGGGGGCTGCTGAGGGATGTGGGGCTGCAGGTTCAGGCGCTGGGGTCCCCTCTCTGCCACCTGCCCTTCAAACCGCCCGGCAGTGAAACCCGGAGGCTGGGTTTCGGTGACTGTGGGTCCTGCTGCCGCCTCCCCGCTCCCGGGGTGCCCCCGCCCCCACCTCCACCCCCAGTTTTGGGAGCCTGCGAAGCTGCCAGGAAGTTGTGAATTAAAAATCAACTTGAATTTAAAACTGTTACCCCAGGGCTGTGGCGTGTCCCCGTGCCCCACGGCGAGGTGGCTCCAGAGCAAAGATTGTGGCCGCTCCCTTTGATTTCACTCAAATTACACGTGGATGAGCCCATCTCATCAGCACTGGTTCTGTGGGTCCTGAGCACCCACTGGTGGGGCTGAACCAGCCGTGGGCCCGGTGCTCCCACACAGAACCCCCCAGGACACCGTGCTCCGGCCGATGGGAGTTTTGTGCTGTGATGGGAGGGCAGGGTGACGAGTGTGTGTGTCCCCCCTCCAGGCTCTGCTGATGGAGACCGCCAAGCTCAACCCCATCATCCGGGATGTCTACGGGGCCGCTGGCCGTGTCCAGCAAACGCCGGGCGCCGCGGGGGTGCGGAGGGGCAGCGGGTGCCGAGAGCTGATGGTGAAGCTGTCGGAGGGGCAGTACGTGCTGTGCCGCTGGACAGACGGGCTCTATTACCTTGGGAAGATCAAAAGGGTAACGTGGGCACCCAAAAGGGCAGTGTGGGGCGCCCAAATTGTAGTTAGTGCCGTTCCTTGGGTCGGCTCGCAGCTTGGAGGGATGCTGGGCTGGGCTTTGGTCAGCAGGGTGTTTGGGGTTGATGTCCTGCCCCCCAAACCCGACTTCCCGCAGCCCCAAGAGGCAGGGATGGTCACTGGGGAGAACAGGGAAGCACTGGGAATGGGAGCTGATGCTCGGCCGTTCTTCCCGCTCCCTCCCCGCAGGTGAGCGGCTCCAAGCAGAGCTGCCTCGTCACGTTTGAGGACAACTCCAAGTACTGGGTCCTCTGGAAGGACATCCAGCATGGTGAGTTGCTGCCCTGTCCTCCCTTCCCGCTGCCATGCCGGGAGGTCTCCCTGGTGGCACAGAGACGTGGCTGTGCCTTGTGCATCTCCCACCCTGCCATCCCCGTCCCGCAGCCGGCGTCCCCGGGGAGGAGCCCAAATGCAACGTCTGCCTGGGAAAGACATCGGGCCCCAGGAACGAAATCCTCATCTGTGGGAAGTGTGGGCTGGGTGAGTGTGGGCACGTCGCCCCGGGAGCTGCCACATCCCCATCCCAGGGATGGAGGTCCGGCCAGCCCGGTGGTGCTGACACCAAGCCCTCTCACAGGTTATCACCAGCAGTGCCACATCCCCGTGGCGAGCGGCGGCGAGGGCCCACTGGGGACACCGTGGTTCTGCCGCCGCTGCATATTTGCCCTGGCCGTGCGGGTGAGTGGGGCTGCCCCCCAGGGTCACTAGCTCCATGTGCCACCCCCCTCCTTGGCACGGCAGTGCTGGACGTGGCCCCCCGAGTGGCTGTGCTGACCCCCACCCCGCTCGGTCCCGCAGAAAGGGGGTGCCCTAAAGAAGGGAGCCATCGCCAAGACGCTGCAAGCCGTCAAGATGGTGCTGTCCTACAACCCCGACCTGCTGGAGTGGGACTCCCCGCACCGCACCAACCAGCAGCAGTGCTACTGCTACTGCGGGGGCCCCGGAGAGTAAGCCCCCTGCCTGCTGGGAGGGTTGTCGTGTCTGGTTTTGGGGGGGAAAACCATGTGCCACATGGATTTTCCCCCTCCCAGGAGAGAAGTCCCCAGCTTGCAGGGCATTGCCCTGGGGCTGGAGGTGCCCACACCACCTCTGCCATCTGGGTCTCTGCTTGCTCTTGGAGGCACCTTTTGTACCCACCTCTGTGGCTGTGGAAAATAAAGTTATGGCCAGACTTTCTCTCCCTGGCTGGAGGGGGGGATCCATGCCTGGGAGGGGGCTGTGGTAGTGGCTGGTGCACCCTGCTCTCGCTGTCACCCACCTCCTGTCCCTCCCCAGGTGGTACCTGAAGATGCTGCAGTGCTACCGCTGCCGGCAGTGGTTCCACGAAGCCTGCACCCAGTGCCTCAGTGACCCCATGATGTTTGGAGACCGGTATGTCCCTGCTGGACTTCGCTGGGCTGTGCTGGACATCAGAGGTGGCTTCCTGGGGGAGCTCGTGCATGGAAGTGTCCCCAGTCTGTGTCTCCCCCATCCGGCTGTGGCACCGATGAGGGTGGCCCTGTCCTCCAAAGCCCTGCTCCTCCTGGCTGTGCTGTCACCATCGGCACCTGGAGCCCTGTCCTCACCCCAACCCGTCCCCAGGCTCTGTGGGGATGACCCCCACCCCCAGCGCTCTCCTTCCCTGCTATTTTCCAGGTTCTATGTGTTTTTCTGCTCCGTGTGCAACCAGGGACCTGAATACATCAAGCGCCTGCCCTTGAGATGGTAAGAAACATCCCTGGCTCCTTTGAGATGTGCTGTGGGGCACCGGGGGGGTTGGTACCAAGGCCCTTTCCTTGGGGCCACCCCCAGAGCTGGGTTCAGCAGCCTGAGTTCACGGAGCATCTCCTGCTCCTCCCGCGGGGCTGTTCCTGGGGAAGCTGTTTCTCCATAAAGCCCCAAACCTGCTGTTTGGCCCCGAGCCCAGGCACACGTTGGCCAGAAGATAACCGCAAAAAAAAAAGCAAGCGGGTGACCAAGTCATCGAATTAATCAAAAAAATAGAAGTTTGGAAGTGATACCTTCTAGTGTACCCTGATGGTCTGAAAGCACTCTAGAAAGTGTATTTATGGTGCCAGCAGCCCAGCTTTTCCCTGCTGTTCCCCCCGTGCTTGGCCGTGTCAGACGTGCTACTGATGCTGGGCTGCGGCTGCCTCGGGGACATCGCTCCGACCAGCGCCGCGGGCTGGAAGGAGAAGAAGGGAAATCCTGCAGGATATATATTGCTTGGCTTTCGTTTTCAGACACAGAAGTGTAAAATCCTACAGGATGGATTGGGTTGTTAAAATAGTCGATGTGTTTTCATGTGAATAAGAGCCATCCCGGCTCCTGTGTGTAACTGCAGCAAGAGCACACGGCTGGGGCTTATTAAAGAGGTGGAAAACTGGGCATCTGTCCTGGGAACAGCATGTCCTCCAGCTCCTGGGCTTGGGGATCTCAGTGATTGGAGTTCCCCACGACTGCAGGCTGGGTCCCAGCCCTCCCCAGGCCTCAGGGGGGACCATCCTGGCTGTGGTGGCATCCCTTGGGATGTGTGTCTGGGCCAGGGTTGCTTCCCCCATGAGGTGTGGGGATGGTCCCAGCTTCCAGTGAGAAGGTTTAGGGAGGTTTAGGGTGCTGGCAGAGCAGAGCATCGTGGTGGGTGCCGTCCTGCCAGGGAGAGGGTGGGCTGCCGACCCACTCACCCCTTTGCCCCGCAGGGTGGATGTCGTCCATCTTGCCCTCTACAACCTGGGTGTGCAGAGCAAGAAGAAATACTTTGATTTCGAGGAGATCTTGGCCTTTGTGAACCACCACTGGGATCCGCTGCAGCTCGGGAAGGTAAAAGCCTGGGCTTGGGTGGGAGGGTGGCCATGGATGGGGAGGGAGAGGTGCTGCTGGGGATGTGAGTTATGTCCAGCTTGTCCCCAGAGCCTTGGCTGGGAGGGACCAGATCCCTGTGGCAGCCAGGGCTGGGGCAGGTTGGTTGGTGAAGGGTGGTGCTGGGGTGAAATGGTGGGACAGGGAGCTCTGCCCCTTGGCTGGGCTGGATTTCCCTCTTGGTGGCCACCAACCCCACTGTGTGTTTGTGTGTTGCTGGTTTGCAAAGGGTCGGAGCTTTGGGGAGTGCTGTGGCCCAAGCTGGCTGCTCCTCGGCCAGTCCCCTGCGGGGAAGGAGCTTTAAAATACCTCCCTGTGTTTCTCTGTGTGGACAGGAGCACCTGGCTGGGGGTGTTTGCACCCGTTGGGGACACGTGGCAGCTCCCATCTGCTGTTCATCCACCCTGAGATGGCATCAGAGCGGGGCATCCCCAGTGGGCAGCCTACAGGATGCTGCTCCCAGAGCTGGGAATGGTGTTGGCCCTGGGCAGAACCGAGGGACCTTTCCTGGGGCTGGGGCAGGTGGAGGGTGAATGGTGGAAAGGGACAAGGGACGTGCCCGTGGGTTGGCAGTGTCACCGTGCCCACAGCCCTGCTCCTACGAGAACTAGATGGTCTTTGAGGTCCCTTCCAACCCTAACCATTCTATGATTCTATCTTGGCAAAACCCGGGTTCTTGCAGCACTCGGTGCGGGCAGCTCCTCCTCAAAATTACCTTAATCACCTTCCTCTGGGCTGGGATTTCCCTTCAGTGGGGTGTTGAACCTGACAAATTTCCCAGTTGGAACTAGACCTGGGAATAGTGCTAAAACCAGGGCATGTTGGAAACCCGTCACCGCGTCGGGACGGCTCCGTTCCCCGCAGCCACCTCCATCCCTGGCACCGAGAGTGGCCGGGGCCAGACCCGGGTGGCCCCGGGTGTCAGGTCCCTCGCTCCCCGACCTTGGGCAGGAGCCGAAACCCGGAGTTTGGGTTCCCCCGTCTGTTTAGTTTTTGTATAACGGCAGCAGGCGCCCAGCCCTGCCTGACCCCCCCCTCTCTCTCCGCAGCTGACGGGCACCCCCATCTCTGAGCGGGGCCCCCACCTCCTCAATGCTCTCAACAGCTATAAAAGCAGGTGAGCCCCCCCGCCCCGGGGTGAGGGACGGGGACAGGATGGGATGCGGGATGCTCCTGTGCCACCCTCCCCAACCCCTGGCTGAGGGTTGTTTCCTCCCAGGTTTCTGTGTGGGAAGGAAATCAAAAAGAAGAAATGCATCTTTCGCCTGCGGATCCGTGTCCCCCCGAACCCCCCCAGCAAGGTGCTGCCAGAGAAAGCCCCCGGCGTGGGCGAGAGCGGCTCCTGCGAGCTGAAGAAGAGGGGGAAAAGCAAGTACATCCATAAAGACAGGTGAGTGGCCACACTCACCCAGGCACCCCCCGACTGCCACACTCCCCTGGGGTGGCCCGGCACCCCCCCCCCCTTTTTTTTTGCTCCGCAGCCTCCTGCCACGGCAGCTCCAGCAGCAGAAGCGGCGAGCGGCGCGGCGCAAGAGGGCCAAGTTCCTGCTGGAGGACGCCATTCCCAGCGTGAGTCCTTCATCCCCTCCTCTGCCTGACTGCCCTGGGCTTTGGCAACCGGGTGGGACCCCACAGCCCCCCACCCTTTGGGGCTCCCCGTGAGGTTCCCCAGCTCTTGCAGGCAGGGAGAGCCCCCGTCCCTCCCTCCCTCTGGGGTTCCCAAATGTTCTGTGCCCAGGCTGCTTCCCAGGGGCTGGGGGGCCGTGGGAGGGGGTGCGGTGGTGCCGGGGTGGAGGGTGCTGATGCTGGGGTCACGGGTGGCACCGCTGCGCCTGGCAGTGACCAGTGCCCTTGTTTTCCTGGGGCAGAGTGACTTCACCTCCGCCTGGAGCACCAACCACCACCTGGCCAGCATCTTTGACTTCACACTGGATGAGATTCAGAGCCTGAAAAGGTCCGTGTGGCTGGTCCGGGGGGGGGTGGGCAGTGAGTGGGGGGTGCAGTTTAAACACCAAAATGTGAAGGGAGGGCTGGTGGCACAGGGGACCAGCCACTGTGCCCCCTGTGCCAGGCTGGGGCCAACACTGTCTCCTGTCCCCAGTGCCAGCTCGGGACAGACTTTCCTATCGGACGTGGACTCCACGGATGCCGCCAGCACCTCGGGCTCAGCCACCACGAGCCTCTCCTACGAGTCCAGGTGAGGGCTGTGCCCCCCTCAGCCCCTTCCAGAGGGGTCCTGGTGGGACAGCCAGGGGCTGCCCCTCTCCCCCTGCGGCAGCCTTGTGTCCTGGCACAGGGATGTGCCACGCTGGGGACCCTTTCCTCCGGGCTGCCTAAAATGAGCTGGTGGTCCCACCGTGGTGCCATCTCACCGGGCACGCAGGGTCCTTGCTGGGCTCACCCAAATTCCAGCTTGCTCCCAGCTTGCAGGGTGATGGGCACAGCATGGGGTGGGAGGGGGGGCACCTCCTGGGTGCTGCCCTCACCCCCTCCTCTGTCCCCCCTCCCCGGCAGCCGCAGGACCGTGGGCAGCCGCAAGCGCAAGTTGGCAGCCCCGGCCTACGCCACAGGGGCGAAGAGGAGAGGTGGGGAGGTGAGAGGGGGGCACCTGGCCAGGGGTACCCCCGAGGGCAGCGAGGCCACCTGCGGCCCCGACCGCCCCGACGAGGGCATCGACAGCCACACCTTTGAGAGCATCAGCGAGGACGACTCCTCGCTCTCCCACCTCAAGTCCTCCATCAGCAGCTACTTCGGGGCGGCGGGCAGGCTGGTCTGCGGGGAGAAGTACCAAGTGCTGGCGCGGCGGGTGACGCTGGAGGGGAAGGTGCAGTACCTGGTGGAGTGGGAAGGCACGACCCCTTACTGAGCTCCTGCTGAACCCCAAACCTCTCCCGGAGCCAAACCAGAGAGGAGATGAGGATGATGATGATGGGGAAACCCTCGCCGCGAAGCAGAGGAGGGACGCTGGCCGGTGGGGAGGGCTGGGACCCCTCGGTGCTCAGGGGTTCCCAGCTGGGACCGGCCCCCAGGAACTGCCCCTGGTGAAGGCAGCATCACCAGCACCATCAGTGGTGCTGCCCAGGGGTGAAACTTTTTTAACTTAACAATTGTTACTTTATTGGCTGTGTAGATTCAGAGCGTGGCCCAGCCGCGCTTTCCTGGTGGAGCCTTTGGCCGAGCCCGAGGCACCATCATGGTGGTGGAAAGAGCAGAGACCGAGTCTGGCCTTTCCAGAAGGGTCCCCCCGGCGTGGCTGGGACCCCCTGGGAAAGCCCCTTTGGGGCAGCCCATGACCTGCAGGTGCAGACGGATGCCATGCCGTGCCCCCTGACTCATCCCCACCTCCCAGCCCTGCAGAGCCGACTCGAGGGGGTCCTGCCCATGAAGCCAAAGGCAGGTCCCTCACCCGAGCTCTCCCAGCCCGTCCCTCTGCCCGTGGGGAACTGTGGGCAGCCCTCGGCAGAACTGGGAGATGGGGTTCTCCTTCTCCTAAATCCATTCATTAAAGGAATGTGGTTTGTTTTAAATGAGGGGAAAGTGCCCCCTGAACAGCCCACGTGTGGCCGGTTTTTGTGGCCGTGGGGCAGATGTAGGTGATTCCTCTTGTCCCGCGACCTGGATGGTGTGTGATGAGGCACCAGCTTCGTTTCCCTGTTCTTCTGACAATCATAGTCTTGGAAGAGATCAGCCAAAAGATAACGCCTTTGCCTTAAAACCACCGCGGGCATTTCACAGACTGGAGCCCGAGGCCTTTATTCCCGCAGGAATCCTCGTCCTGCATGTGCCAAACAAGCAGACAAACCAAAAAGGCTGGAGAGGATGGCAGGGGCGTGGGGAGGGGGTTGTACCAGGGTCCCTGGGGCCATCCCCGTGGCCTCGTGGCTGTGCCTCGCTGCAGGGCAGGCAGCCACCCTCTCTGGTAGTGGGGTAATGTCGATGTCTGTGGGTGCGTGGGGTGGGTTTGTCTGCAGAAGAGGAGGAGCAGCCCCTTTCTTTAACTAAAGCAATACTGCCAGGGTGTTCAGCAAAGCAGCTGTCTTTTTTTTAAAAAAAAAAAAAATCTAATATCACCAGACATATTTGTTAGTCTTTTTTCTAAGAGAGATCTCTATATATATGTTTTTAGTGTCGTCCTTCTCGTCTCTCCCCCCATCGCCACCGTGGCTGTCCCATGGGGCCGGAGGGCGGGCGATGCTGTGGGGCTGTGGGTGCTGCTCTGTCTGCACACCCCTCCCTGCAGCCCCGTCCTTGTTCATATGTGCAGTTGTGGGATCTGCCGAGCGGAGGGTGAACTGAAAAGGTGGTTTTATTGAAAAAGGACTTCAGAAAATTCATTGGTGTGATCGGCACGAGGGAGCGGGTGGTGTTCGCAAACCAGAAGCCAAAGCGTGGTCCTTTAAAACCAAACTTCCGCTTCAGCTACTGCTGAAATAATGTAGTGAGACACCCAGGAAGGGGCCATTTATCTGTTGTTTTAATTAATCTCGCAGGCAGCAGGCCCTTGTGTGGCTGTGAGGTGACAGTGCCAGTGATGATGCCTCACACGGGGCCGTGGTTCAGAGCAGCAGCTTCTCTGCAGCCCTGGGATGTCCCCACCTGGTTTGGGCCAGCCAGGAGCTGCTTCGGTGCCCACATCAGGAGTGTGAATATTGGTCTTGGCAGGTAAAAAAGTGTTTTAACTCCGTTCTGAGGAGTTGCCCAGTGTTGTGCAGCTGGTGGTGTGTGCATGAGCTCTGGTAGAGGACCTTCTGTCCAACTCCAGCCATGAGATGGTTTGAGTGGAGCAGGGTCAGACGTGCCTTGGGGAGAGGTGCTTGGCACCCTCAGGGGCTGCATCTCGGCTCATCCCCAGGGAGTCATCTCCATGGGGACCCCGTCCTTGTGGGAGATGGGCTGTTGGGACCCCCCATCCTGCAGCCAGTGGGGTCTCTTCCCCATGCTGCCTTGGCTTGTCACCAAAAGCTCATTTAAAGTATTTCCCTTTCACCAGTGCCTGTGAAATCTGTGTTACTGCCCCTGGGGGTGGAGGGGGGGGGTCTGCCAAGAGTTGTGCCAGGGATGAGCAGGGTTATTCCCATGGGATGTGCCAATGGACATTGCACTGGTGGGAGCACCCGCACCGCGTGGCCCCCCGTTCCCTTCCCCTCCCTCTCTTCTCCCTCCCCTCCTGGCCTCTTGCAGAGAACTGAATGTGGAGCCTTGAAAAATATTTTTGTTGCAGAGTATATTTTGCATTAGCTGTAATAGATGTTATAATGACTCTGTGCACCTTCTGAAGACTTGTGAGTTCAGGTTGCTGCTTGTAATAACCAACTCTTGTTATACCTGAGTTGTAATTAATATGTCTGATGTACAATTAAAAGGTCTTTTTTTGGTTGTGGGTTTTTTTTGTTTTGTTTTTGGGTTTTTTGGGGTTTTTTTTTTACCATCACTGGCTCTTTGCAGTGTCAGGATGATTGAGTTTGGGCACTGGGGGTCAGTGTGTGCTCCCAGGCAGGTGTTGGGTCACAGTCCTTGGCTGAAGAGATGCTGCCCCCCAGCACAAGAAGAAGAGAGGGATGGGAAGGGGCCAGTGTGGGCACAGCCCCGGGGACAGGGACACGATGGGTTTTGTGGAGAGGGGGTGCCTCTTTCCTGCTCTCGGAGCTTGAAAGGGCCAAGACGGACCCTTCCTCCTGCCCAGCTCACTGCGGACACTGCGCCTGCAAACTGCAACAACACCTGAGCCTGCCCAGGTAAGAAATTCTGTTTATTCCCTTCCCAGTCACATAAATAACTCAATATTGTTCCATAAGTTATATCCCGTTAAACTATTAACATGAGCATCTTCTTACAAGGTTAAACTTGGTCCAGGTAGAAAGCCACCGTTCAGGTGTGGGCAGGGGGTGCGGGGCTGGGGTGATGCCCTGGTCCTGCTGGCACTTTGATTTCCCTCAACTGGCAGTGGATGTTGCCCAGTTCAGCCCAGCTCGTCCCAGCTCTGCAGACTGGGCAGGGTCAGTGCGTGCGCTGCTCGTGGCTCCTGATAAAGGCTTGTAGTGCCTGTTCGAGTTTCCCGTTTCCTTGGATTTTTTTAAGACTTGAATCAGCAGCATGACAGCAGGAGGGGGTGTGAGGCGATGCATCGTGGGGTGCCCGGCCACATCCTGCTGCCTCCGGGCTGGGGAAGCAGGAGCAGAGCGGGGCAGGATGCTGTGACAGCCGCTGCGGGGGAGCAGGGGGGCCAGGCAGGGTTTCAGGTGCTGTCTGTGGGGACAGATGGCAGTGGAGGGGTTGCTGGGGGCTGTCAGGTCATGGCCACCAGCTGGCACTCGCTGCTGGGGGGCCTGAGACAGCCCCCAAATGCTGCAGTGGCCTGATGTGAGCATCTCTGTGTATCCTCATCTGGAACACCCCTTGGTGCACGTTGTCCTTCCCCGCTTCAGCCTCCACCACCTCCGGGCTGCTCGGTGCTCCCTGGAGCACAGGGTCAGGCCGAGGAGGGGATGCTTTGGGTGCAAAGGGAATTCCCAATCCCAGGCTTCTGTGTTACAGCAAACCTGTGAAGCCATAAGCTGCCTCCCTGCGTGTGCATAACGCTCCCCGAAAGCAAGGTGCTCTCTGCTCTTCTCAGTTAGTCCTGTGGGACGCTTTCCTCTATCCATTTGAGGTAGAGCGGGTTTCCTTGGTCGATAGGCAGGCTGATGATTTCAGGGATTTCAAAGGGATGGATAGATCTAAAGTGGAAACAGACGCAGAGGAACAGTGTCACCAAGAGCCCTGCGGCAGAACAGCCCCTCTCCCGCTGGCAGTGCAGGAAGCAGAGGTCTCCGCTCCCAGCCGCGCGCCCCAGCCCTGCCCCACGCTCCCCTCTCACTTCAAAGCACCCGCATCTTCTTTTTGCCATGTGAGAATTTTGCTTTGAGTTTGGGGTTTACCGCAGCCAGCAGCTGACAGCCAGGGGCCCTGCCCCAAACGCAGGAAATCCTGCTGGGAGGCAGCCAGGGAATAACCTGGGTTAGGAGAAGGAGAAACCCTCCTTGTACCCAGTATGGAGTGGCTGGTTGAAGCCAAACTGTTGATATTCCCACCTTTTATTTTATTTTTTTTTTTTTGCTGATGCCATCTCTGGTTTTTTTGTGGCTCACAAGATACAGCAGGAGCACTTAAACCCTCCTTGGATGGGAAGTGGCTCAAGGACTCCCAAAGCCTGAGCAGGAGATGGCAGCGTACCTTGCATAGGAAACCCAGGGCTTCTGCACAGCCAGACCCTCACCTGACATAGTTGGACAATTCACCTATTTTGGATGTTCTCGTTTTCACTATCTGTGGAGAGTAAAAAAAAAAACACAAATCAAAACCCAAGGGAGAAGGAAAGGGGATGGAGCAATCCTACATGCACAGTTCCCCTGCTCCCACGAGGCATGGCCAGCACCCAGCGGTGCAATAGGAGCCCTTTCTGGGCTCTTCCCCCAGGGATGTCCCCTGTGGTGGCAGGATGAGGGGCTGAGCCAGGTGGCCACTGCCATACCTGCAGGTGGGTGCTCAGGGTCCCTGGGTACTGTCCCAATCTCGGGCAGATTGGTGCCACCCTCCCCAAACCCCCTTGGGATGGGGATGTTTGAGACGTGGGGAATTGTCCCTTACCAGCAGTATTTCAGTGGATTCTTCCAGTTCCCCTTTCCAGAAATACCTAGATTTAAAAAGAAAAGCAGCATCAGCAAATGCAGCTCTGGGTGCAGCCCTGCTCCTCCCCCTGCTTGGTGCTTTCTTCATGCGGCTGTTTCTTTACAAAGTGGTGCTCAAGAAGCATCACCATCCCCAAAAGTCTGCTGTGGACGTAACTGAGCACCCAAGATTTACAGCCCAGAGTCCCCCTGGCTGTGCCAGCCTTGAGAGAGCTGTCCATGGGGAAGGGCAGGGCAAAGGAGGTGGGAATGGGGTGGCTCTGGGGGGCTGTGTGGTGGTGACCCTGCTCCAAGCGGTGGCCGGGGGACAGTGTCTGCCCTGAGCCACAGCACGGCTGCAGCTGGGAGGCTGAGTGCGGCGGCATCATGATTTTCTGCTCCTCTTTCTCCCTGCAGGAGAGGAGATGTACTTCTCGTGAGTCAGATATGACCTTTCAAAACATTTATGTTGACAGACGGCCATCGTGATTTCATCTGGGCGCTGGGTTCCTGCACCAGGAGGCATCTGGAAGCAGCACCGTGTCTCCTGAGAGGGGCACGGAGGGGAAGCCAGCTGGAGCAGGCAGGGCTGGGCACGAGGAGCTCTTCTCTGGCTGTCGTGGCTCACAGGGGACCAAGTGTCCGGGGAAGACAGGTATCACTGGGGCTGATCCATCTCAGCAGCCTCAGCTGGGCTATGGGAGAGCCTGGGGGTGTACTGGGAGAAGCCCCTCCTATGGGGAGGCTGCAGTGTGGGGCCAGGCCAGGGTGGTCTTGCGAGCAAATGGTTGGTTTGGGGGGTTATTTTTTAATCTCTCTAAAAAGTGCAAAACCTTTGCGTGGGTGGCTGAGGATACCTGCAGATCGTGGCTGGTCGTATTTCAAGGTCAAAGATGCTGTTCTTCCTTCCTGAAAGTGCCGCTTAATATTGTAATGGCCTTTTCTGGTCCCTATCTTAGCTTCTTTTTAGATCCTCTAATAACAGGCATCATGCCCTCAGGCCCATAAATCACCCTGCTCTTTGCTCCATCTCCCCGTAGCTAAGTAACCAATAAATAAATGGTCCCCACTGGCAGTCGGAGCATCTGCACTCCGTAATGAGCTTAGCGCACTCCGCACTGGTGAGGATCATCTCTACCATCTGCAGCAACAAACAGTCCCAGCAGCCTCCTGGACACTGCCTCCTCTCCCCAGGGCTGTGGGGTGTCTGTCTCCTCCTTCCCCCCTCTGGAAGCCTGGGTTTGCCTCCTCCGTTGGGGAATATTCAACCCAACTTACAAGGCTGAGCTCTTCGGCAGGATGTTGACGTAGGCAGCCAGCTTCTTATCCATGATGGCCCTGGGTGAGACAGGAGACAGGAGGGGGAGTTAGTGACCATCCCCAGCTCACCGTGGCTCAGCCCTTACCCCCAGCCATGGGGACATTCCCTGGTGCTGCCCCTGACTGCCAGCACCAGCTTTAACATTGGAGATGGAGGAGTTAGTGTTAATTATTATCCTGGGAAAGTAGAGGCAAAGGTGGCCTCCAGCTGGAGCTGCTTCAGCTCAGATCCTCCTGAGACAGCTCTAGGACTGTCCTCCCTGTTCCCACCACCAAGGAGGAAGGTTTGGTGTTGCTCCTATTCTGGAGCAGCACATGGGACCAGTGCCTCACACGGCACAAGGACTCTGCCCAGCATCAGCCCTGTTGCCCAACTTGCCAAGGGGACACCAGGGCAGGATCTGAGCCATGAGGCCATGAGAAGGAGGGCTGGGATGGACACCAAGGGGTTTGTCTCCCAGTCCAGTATTTATGTATTTATGCTGTCAAAATTGTGCTTCTTCCTCGCACAGCAGACTAAATGTGGATCTTGTTAAATTAACAACATCAAGGTTTTTCTACCCAAAAACGTCCTAGAAATCTGAAGCCCAAATAAATTCCTTCCCTCTGGCCGCCTCCTTTAGTTGTGGGCTGATTTGTTATTGCAGAGTGGCTTGGGTCTGCCAGCAGAAGTGATATTTAAGTGATTAAAGAGTATTGAAACAATCTCAGGGTGGATTTTTAGAAGAACTAGGTCAAATGTTGTGTTTTCTGACCACAGCAATGTCTGGGCCCTTCTCATGGAGAGGGCAGCCCCGTCCCTCTTGCAGGCAGCTGCACTGCTGGCTTCTACCTGCACCTTTCTTCAACACTGGCATCACCGGGCACTATTTTTACCAAGTGCTTTGACAACACAAACATTTAACTTCTCACTGACCTTGAATTGCCGAGAAGGCAGGAGTTATTAGAGGCTGGAAAGGGTGATTCAGCAACTCGCAAAACTTAACCCTTAGCGAGCGAAAGAATTAAAACTGTTTTGATTAACTACCGCTCCCCTCTGAAATGCTCTCCAGCATGGTTTTGCCTCAGAGCAAGTTAAACATTTATTGTCCTTGCATCCAGGGTACGGTACAGATGGGAGGCGATTACAAAACAGATTGGCCCGTGTGTCCCTGAAGACAAGAAGAAGGAGCACAGGAGGTGCCTCCCCCATGGCAGCGACCTGAAGACACCCCAGCCAAGGTGTGAATGTGCAGCTGCATCGTGCCTTGTGATCTGGCCTCTGACCCCTAAGGAAAGCTGGGCTCTTGTCTGAATGCACTATAAGGTCCTTTGCACATCTTGGTTATCGGTCCTGCTTTCTCTGTCCACTTGTGGAGGTTCCTACCTCGCAGCTACGAGCACAAGGCAAAGGTGTCCTCGTGTGGGGCAGGAAGGAATCCTGGTGCTGGGAAGAAAGCAGCCCTTCCTGATGATCCTACGACATCTCTCCACTCCAGCAGAGCACTGGGGAACCAGCACACGGACCCAGCTAACTCCCAGGACGGGGTTTAATATTTAAGCACAGCAAGGCGGTGGAGATGGACTTCTCTCTGCCCATGACTCAGAGGGAGCATGGCCTGAGGGGACAGCCACCCCAGGAGGCTCTGGGTTGTTTGCTCTCACCATGTGTAGCCAGTTTTAGGCATTTAATGCTCGTAGAGCATCTTGAGTTAATCTGTAGACCCACAAAGTGCAGCAGTGTGAGCGGAGATATTCCCGCTGTGTGTGTCATGTCAAACACATGGCACAAATCATTTTGTTTTTTTGCCGCCTGCAACTTCCCAGTCACTTTAGTTCAGGAACCTTTTGATTTGGGTGAGTACCTTCTAATTGCTTCTGCTCTGTCCCATTAAACCGCAATCCTAACTGAGATCCTGAACTTTGTTCTAGCCAGCTGAGCGGAAAGAAGTGGCCACCATGGGAATGGGAAACATTATAAGAAGCTGAACGTGATCTGTGGAAAAACGTCTGCATAATACATGATATCTTTGGGTTGGGTACTTAATGTGTGTTTCTTTGTCCTTGCCTCACAATAGGATCTGAATTGAGACAGATGAAATATTAATAAGCAGAAAAGCGAAGAAAATGATATGCAAAAATCTAAGGCAGAGCTGGAGGCTGCCAGGCTGCTCGGGTGTTAGGTGAGTTGTGTCAAGTGCAACGGCCACACCGTCCAGCCTGAAGGGGTCAACTTCTCGCAGCAGGCACAGGGGAGAGACTAGATCTCTTCTATGAACTCAGGGTTTCTTCTGAGGATTTTAAGTTAATAGTAATCCAGATCAACTGGGTTAGAACTAATGCAATGAACAAGCCAGATGCTGAATTTTACATGCGGCTAATCTGTTTTCACAAACCCTGAACTCCCTTAAAACCAGCAGAAAATTTCCTTGCAGTCTGAGCCGTCAAAGCGAGTGCTCCACTGAGCAACGTGAAGGAAGAATAAACACCAGAGCACTAGGAAAACGGTGGGTGGGAAAATAACTGTAGCAGCCCTGTGTCATTCTCTACAACCATGGCTTATTCATCCAGATTTGGAAGCAAAGGAATAATTACTCTACCAGTAAAAACGCAATCAAAGTACGTGTATCTCAGCAATGGGGAGTGACTTGTTTCCTCACCCTTCTCTGCAAGATAAGGAAGAAAGAGTGGGAAACTTTTTCAAAGCTGTTAAGATGAAGCATTTTCAGGAACTGAAGCTCTTTTGACCAGCCATGTACAGTTACCCCTTTTTTCAGAAGACGTCAAGCGGTACAGATATTATTCTATTTGAATTTCTTAATACAGTTGCAGCATTTAAGGTGACACAAAATCCCTTTCAGTAGCCTGTCAGTTCCTGAACGACTGTTGGGGAACCCTTTACAGAAGATGGAGGGGTTTTGGCAAGCAGCAGGGAAAAGGGCGCGAGAGGTGTTGCAGGAAACTTAATGGTCCATCATAAACATTTCCCCAGTCAACACAGTTTCAGTCCTTCGAACAAACCATCTATTGAGTCAGGGGCTGACGGATATGTGAAAAAAACCTCTGCATGCAAAATATCACACAAAGTATGTCATACATTTAAAGAGGAAAAAAAAAATACAAGGTAAAGCCCTCGCTCCCTGATGTTTGTCTGGTGAGCAGAGTGCAGGCTCCCAGGTGGAACCTCACAAGTGCCTGTTTTGGGTTTGCCATGGGCCACTTTTGTCTTTTATTTATTTTCATGGCAGTGTAGTGTGCTTTGTCCCTCTCTGTAAACACCTCTCCTGGAATTTATTTGTGCTGTAGAGAAGAAGAAAGACTGTGGCAGATCAGAGAACACAGAGCTGGGGCTCAATCCATCTGAGATTTAGGGCCATGGCTTGAAAATGGCTTGAAAATGAAAGGCAGAGGAATAAATTGAGAATTGGCTTCACGTTACTGTGGCATTGACTTCAGAGGCAATTGCCAGCCATTTAGAAAGCACAGCTCTTGGTAAGTGGGTATGTGGTACAGAGAGAGTAAGAGAAAAGGAGCACCATTGGGACAGAAGCGCGGAGCACAGAGAAGTACAGCTCCTCTCGAGGGACAAGGAAAAGCTTTCTTCCACAAGAAGCTGCTTTTGAGCAATTCAAGCAGACAAGGAGGGGAAGTTTCTCTGTACCTTGCAATATCCTTGGCAATCTGCTCGTTGAGACAGTTGATGAAGGCAATGGAGTGGGTCCCGGAGACGTAGCTGCCGGTGACAGCAGAGTGCAGCTGAAGAGCGAGACTCCTCAGCACCGGGTACATCAGCAAAGACAGAGTCACCACCTAAAATGCAATATCGAGGCGTGACGATGGTAGGTGAAATACTGCATTTTGTAAAACTAAGCATTTACACTACCTGGGGCTCAAGGGAAGCCTCTAGCCTTCTTTCTTTCTTTCGACATTACAGTAGTTCTAGTTGTAATTACGGTGAAAACAAGCTCGTAGGGAGACTGAGTCCCCTCCAGTGTGGTTGATCTAGGGCTGTGCCAAGTGCTCGGGGCAGGAAAGGGTCAGCTTTGGAGGCTGGATCAGCTCAGAGGAGCCCCGACCTCTGCTGCGGGAGGTGACAGCCCAGATTGATGGGGGTCACAGACCCCCCTGCGCAGCCTCAGCAGCCAGGGCTGGTTTGCCAAAGAAGAACAAGGAGGTAAGTCAGTGGCTGCCTCTGTTAAATTACATTTCTGTTGTAAAACAGGGTGAGAAAGGAACTGCCAAGCACAGCTCCTACACCAAGCACATCTTCTTTCCCACTGAGGACACATCCTGCCACAATCCTCTTGTGTGCCATGGGAAAGGCACGTCCATCCCACCGGGAAACGATGGGGAAGGACCCTCTGCCTCCATGGGATGTGGGAAGCAGGAGAGCAGTAGGTTGGGTAGGGGAAGGGATCCGGCCATGGGAAACAAATTTGGGCAGGAGCCTGATGCAGGAGCAGAGATTCAAGAAGCCTGGGCTAATACAGTCTGTGCTGGGACCCGGAGAGTTTTCATCCTGCCCTGCCAGCCCGGGGCAATTCTCTTCTCTGACAGATGTTTTGCAGCCCCCCCCCCGACTACAAAACAAACTCACACAGCAGGCAAGGGAGGATAAGACTTCAATAAAGGGTTTAAGTTCATTTCATCTTATCTGATACTAATAGGCCTGTGAAATTGGATCCTGTTGGGCACAGAAATCCTAACAGCCCAGGTCTGCAGGGCTGTCTCTGTCCTGCCGGGCTGCAGAAAACACTAACGCTCTCTGCGTGGACTGGCAGCGCAGCGGCAACAAGTTGGTTTTGCTGTACATTCGATGCTATTCCTGGCAAGACCCTTAGCTGCTCTTTGTACTCACGTGCCACAAAGACAGCCACATAAAAATACATAATTATCTCAGCGGGGACATTTTTGGAATAGCAAGGTTAATTTGGCGTGCTGAGGAACAGGGCTGGTGCCCGCACCCGGGGCCGCAGCGCTCGCTCTCTCGGCACAGCTGCTCGTCCCTTTGTCTTTTGTCTTCTTTTAGAAATAAACAGCATCTGGCCCTCATTCAACTACAGTGATAAAAAAATGCTTATACGACTAAGAATATATTCCTTTTCTTCCTTATTTCCATCATCCTTTATGTTCCGAAAACCCTCCCATTACAGGGCCAACATCAGAGTTGTTTTTTCTTTTTTTAAAAAGATTGAATTAAAAATTGTTGTCACCAGAAAGACAGCAGCTCCTTTCTGTTTGGAAAACGACTGCTGTGCTATATTGGTTGTCTCCTCTTTTCCAACCCATTTGAGGAAATGCTCTTTGTTATCACAAGGTTTCTCAAAATAATTTTTAGAGCTTCTTCTGCGCTCTTTCTTCCAATAAGCCATTTAACAAATATTATGCAACGAATCCCAGAAGCTACTCAGATAGTTATAAGCCAAACAGAGATATGCTGGTGTATCTATTTTTCCAGATTAGAATGTAATCATGCTCCCTGCTTAGGAAAAAAAAATCCAACCTGTTCAGCACAGCAATCGTTAATCTTCTTTGAAGATGTATGTGCATGTGATGAGGAAATCCCCATGAACATTTGTGATTGAATATTACTACAAGAATGACCACTCCCTTGTTTTTTTGGAGTTCTCCCCCACACCTTTTCTTTTAAAAAGAAAGATACCCCCCCCCCCCTTTATTTTTCCAGAATAGTTGTATTTGCCAAGTGATTCCTACCTGATAAACAGAATAAACTCATGACTGCCAAAATGTTAAAGTGAACAAAATTTAAAAATTTGCTGTGAGATTTTAAGTATTTCACTGAAAAGCACTGATCAGCAAAATGCTAGCTGAGTTTAGAGAGAGACTAAGATTTCTTGACCCCCCCCTTGTTTTTTTGGGGTTCTCCCCCACCCCTTTTTTTTAAAAAAAAAGATACCCCCCCCCCCCTTTATTTTTCCAGAATAGTTGTATTTGCCAAGTGATTCCTACCTGATAAACAGAATAAACTCATGACTGCCAAAATGTTAAAGTGAACAAAATTTAAAAATTTGCTGTGAGATTTTAAGTATTTCACTGAAAAGCACTGATCAGCAAAATGCTAGCTGAGTTTAGAGAGAGACTAAGATTTCTGCAAGACTTGTTTTGTCTTTGGTGAACTAAAAACAGCTTTAGAGTTTTAGGACTTTTTGCCTAGTTTTGATGAGATTCTAAAAAAACCATAAAAAAATAAAATCCAAACAACCACCCCAAACACAACTCGTGGCAATTTTGAGTTGGCTGTGAGCTTCCTCAGCACGAGTGGAAAAAAAAAACTCCTAAGAAATATGCTTCTCTCTGCAGAGACACAGAATACGTTCCTCCTGCATGATCTTTTTCTTCCTTTTTTAAATTTTTTTTATTTATTTTGAAGAAGGTCACCTGGGTTGGCATCCCCTGCCCTCCCCAGTGGGTCACCCGCATCCCCCTGTCCCCCCAGCCCTGGTCCCAGCGGAGGGCTCCCACTTACCAGCAGCAAGGTGCCCCGGCTGGGCCGGGGGCAGCCCTGGCCAGCGGGCAGCAGTGGGCAACGCTGGCTCAGCCACTCCATCTCCTCATCCCCTCCGTCCCTCCACCTGCTCTGCCCAAGCTGGGAAGGCTGCCGGGGAAGGCTGCCCGCAATGAGCTCTAACTCCTCCTCCTCTTCCTCCCCGGCTGCCTGCGGGCTGGTGTCCGGCTGCCTCCCCTAGCCAGGGCTGAGCACTGGCCCGTGGGCCACCACGGCATCCCCATGGGACTCCTGATGATGGCAAAAGTGAAAATTTTATCAAGAAGTTTCGGTCGGGACATCACAGAAAAATACCTGACTTTGAATAGGATGGGAACAAAACAATGTTCTTTTGCAGACTTAGACTCACAATAACAAAATACATAACTTCTGGACCAAAGTCAAGCCAAAAGTATATCCCAAACTAACCTGGGGTAATTATAAATTAATTTACTGTGTGTGCTAAAACACACACCCCTTTGTGACTAATGAGCATGCTAATCAGGTAACCTCCCTACATGTTTTAAACATGAGTTTACATGCATATGTGTAGTTAGGAGCAGTGAATGCATCATTATTAACCAATCAGCTGTATTTTCTTGTTATAAATATTGGGTGGCTGGAAACCCATGGTGTGCTGGCTGTTGCTAGATGACCAGCACCTGATTCTGGTGAACTGAAATAAATACCTCGACTCAGTGTGTTGGTTGGCCCTCGCACAGCGGGTGAAGAACCCTGATTTAGGGACATCATTGCCTCCCCCCAGCCCCTTCCCCACCACCCCCAGGGATGGGCAGAAGCCGGGACATGGCAGATGCCAGGACATGGCCACGTGCAAGGACAAATTCTCCCAGCAGCGTCCATGTGCTGACCAACACCCCCTGCACCACCGGCTGCTGGAGAATGTCTCCCTCCAGGAGGACTTGGAGGACACGTGCTCCAGGACACTTGCTGATGCCATATGGCACTTTTGCCTTCATTTACCCATCCATAACATAGTTTTCTTCTCAGACTTAATACTGTTGGGGCTCTGCGCTCTCTGGATCGAAACTCTTACAAAGCTGGTAAGTCCTGCTGTGGTGCTTGGGCCTAAAAATGCTCCTGTAAGGAATCCAGTGCAGAGGAACACAGCTCCATTCTGTTCCATTCTGTAAGTTTATTATATTACTGTTAGTTCTCATACACTATTAGGAAAATATAGAATCATAGAATTGTTTAGATTAAAAAAGACCTTTAAGAGTATTAAGTCCACCCATTAACCTAGCACTGCCACGTTCAGCACTAAACCATGTCCTTGAGCACATTTGGCCCTGGAGGGGCCTGTTCTTCGGATTCTGCGGAGCGCCGCTGTCCGGGCTCGCTCAGGGCGCACATCCGGACAGCGGCTGGCTCTCCCGGCTGAGGCAGTTTCCATTTCCACCTCCACGCGAACCCAATTTTCCCCCATTTTACCCCAGATGCGTTTTGCCCCTCAGACCCCTCGACCTCCCCTCTGGCCCCCGGCCTCCCCTCAGCCAGGCCCTGCCCCTCGCCCCGTCTGTCCAATCAGAGCTCCAGGCGGGCGGAGGCCTCCGCCCGCCTGGAGCTCTGATTGGACAGACGGGGCGAGGGGCAGGGCCTGGCTGAGGGGAGGCCGGGGGCCAGAGGGGAGGTCGAGGGGTCTGAGGGGCAAAACGCATCTGGGGTAAAATGGGGGACCCGTCTGTCCAACCGGGGCTCCGGGCGGGCGGAGGCCTCCGCCCGCCTGGAGCTCTGATTGGACAGACGGGGCGAGAGGCAGGGTCAGGGCGGTGCCCCCACCGCCATTTTGTTTACGGCGCGGCGGACGCGAAAGGGGCCCTTGGCGACGGCGCGGCGGTTGCTAGGGGCGGTGCACGCGCTCTCGCGAGACTTCCCGGACGGCGCCAAGATGGCGGAGGCGGTGGTGGAGCTGCTGGAACGGGCGGCCAGGCGGGAGGCGCCGCTGGAGGAGCTGCGGGCCTTGAGGCTCGCCGTGCAGGCCGTGCCGCCCGCAGCCCTCCGCGCCCACCTCAGCGACGATCACCTGGGAGCGCTCTTCGCCCTCCTCAGCGTCAATGACCGGTGAGCTTCGGCCCGGCCTCCTCCCCTCTCCCTTGCCCCCGGAGCATGGTGGCTCCTGTTGCTCCTCCATCTCCTTCCCTGCCCTCCTTCAGGGCGGGGGCTGGCGGAGCTGAGGATCTGGGAGCACCCGGTGGTGTCTCCCCTCCTGAAGGGCTTGGGTTTGTCTCGTGTCCCGCTCAGGGAGCAGGTGACTGCCTGCATTTCCATCCTGGAGAGGCTCCTGCAGGCCCTGGACCCGGTCTATGTGATCCAGAACCTCCGAGAAGAGCTTCAGAAAGGGCTTTTCCACCCCGATGACTCCGTGAAAATCCTCACCATATCTCAGGTACAGGGTTTTGTGCCAGGAGAAGGGAACAGAGCTCTGTCTTGAGCCAGGCTGGGTTAGTTTCATGCCCTAATTTGTGCCAAAAGTTCTACATCAACTGCTCTTATGTGCTCATGCAATTTTGGATAAATACCGTGCAGTGTGTTGATATATAATGCTTTATGATGTGCCTGTTAAACATAATGTATAAAACTATGTCTTGACAGAAGTAACTTGTAAATTAATCTTCTGACACGTGTTCTGGATAAAGCTTTCTAAGCCAGCACTGACAGCAGGTGCCATAAGGATCAAGTGCAGCAACATTTTAATATTCATGATACTTTGAACAATATTGTGGAAACACTGAGTAGGCTGTAGTAACCTGACACTTGTTGCATTAATTTAAAAGAACAGACTTGTCAAACACTGTAGTTTTGAATGGACTTCTAGAGACTTCAGGTCCAGCCCCCAGCTAAAAGCAGGGCCATCTTGTGGCAGGCTGCTGAGGGTACTGTCCCTTTGAATTTTGAGTATCTGCAAAAATGGTGATTCTGTCCCTCTGGGTAGCTCTTCTAGTGCCTGAATGTTCTTATAGTAGAAAAAGTTTGTTTTAATGTTATTTTCTATAATTATTTAATCGTATCTTTAGGTTGGGAGGATTGTTGAAAATTCAGAGGCTGTTACAGAAATTCTCAACAGTCCTGAACTATTACGGCAGATAATAAATTGCATTGGTGGAGAGAAGATAGCAGTGGCTAAAGAGGTAAGTGTTGCATTCTTTTTTAGTTCTTCTACAAGGTGATGTAGACACTGCACAAAACACCTTTTATTCCGTGTCTGCAATGACAGCCTCTGCTTGTCTTTTTTATTCGAAAAAAGAACTTATGGTGCTTGAAAGATGTGATGAGCTGTAAGTGCCCTAAGCCCAAAAGTTAGTTAGATGTGATAAAAAATTTACTTAGAACTGTTCTTTTCCAGTAGCTGTTGATGCCAAAGTGAACTCATAGATTTGAATTTAATGCCAGAGATTTGGATCACAGTAACCATAACTAGCTCTTGTCAATGATATGCTAATTCTCATTGAAAAGTGACTTGCAATTAAAATTTTAGATGAGTAACATGATTTCATGTGCTAGTAAAGAACAGTGAAACTAAGTCAGTTTGTCTTGGATTTTCTTCTTGTAATATGTTGATGTTTTTGTTTCCAGGCCATCAAATCTCTCTCAAGAATAGCACAGACGCAAGATGGCTTAGAGGCTTTATTTGTGAGCAATTTGTTGAGTGACTTGAAAAATGTCATGGCAACAAATGACATTGTTCGATACAGAGTATATGAGGTAGGAATGCCATCAAGGTGAGCGTTTGAATGATATGATACTGCATTTCTCTAGTATTCATCACTGCTTTGCAAACTTCCCTTCCTGTCTGTGTTTTGTCAAGACAAGAAAGGAGCAGGAAGAGTACAGCAGTGATGATCTTCTGAAGAAAAGGTGGCAGTGAATAGAAATCAAATGCACATGCTGTAAACTTGGAACTCCTTAAGAACTTGTTTCAAGCAACCATTTAGGTTAATTATGAAAACTTCACAGAATTCTGTATTTAATCTACACTAGGGTTAGTCAGCGTTAGAAGATGTATTTGGCTGTTAGTGTGAATTGTTAACATTATAATGTTTTTATAAACCATCCTTTTTTCTGTGCTTTCATTTAGTTAATTGTTGAGATTTCTTCAGTGTCAGCAGATTCACTAAATTACTGCGCAAACAGCGGGTTAATATCAGAGCTAATTGGAGAGCTGACTGGAGAGGATGTGCTGGTCAGGTATGTTGGTAGTGAGTTTGCCAATGAGATTTTTCCCCCTTTGTTAAAACTCTGATGTTCAGTCTTAAAATAACAGTCTTTAAACACGTTTGTGTGTGTTTCTCATCAAACCCATTTCAGGAGAGCACCTTATCTGCCTCTTCTTAAACAGCCTGGGGTTTAAAATACTGTATATTGAAATGTGAGAAGCAGGATGAAGTTTCCCCAGTATGCTGGGAGAATTGTACCACTGGGCTGAAATATAAACGCTTTAGGATTCTTTCCAAATCTACACCTAAAGTAAGATAGTGGAGTGAGCTTGGAGGGGTGTCGGACAGTTGGGGTAGTTTGGTGTTTGGTTTTTTGTTTGATTAGTTTTTGTCCTAAGGGTAAAAAACCTGTTTTTTCTTAATCACTGAGGACTTAAAAAAAAAAACAAACCCAAAATCAACCAAACCCATCTGAAATAGACTAAAATAGCTGCTTGTCTGTTACAGAGCTACGTGCATAGAGATGGTGACCTCCCTGGCCCACACTCCACATGGACGTCAGTATCTTGCTCAACAAGGAGTTATTGATAAAATTTCAAACATCATCGTTGGTGCAGAGTCTGATCCTTTCTCAGGCTTCTATTTACCAGGTTACATCATGCGTTTCTTGTTTCTAGTGTTTGCTTTTATTAATGGGTTAAATGGAGAGAACTGTTAAGCCTCTGTTTTGAAAGCTTGTGAATTTTTGAATATTAGATCATGGAGGTACATAAAAGATGCTGAAGGACAGTTTAATACAAGAATAATATTACAGGTAAAATCTGGAGAGACTGTACTATAGGTTTGAAGTTTTTGTTATTGTAGTCTTCTGGGTTTTCTTTTTTTATGAATTCAAGACGACAG